ATAGAGAAAGAGAGAAAGAAAGAGAGAGAGAGGTCGCGACAGCGAGGTAACAGCAGCCGTGGGTGAGCCAGTGGGCGAGTATCTCCGAAAGAGCAGTGAGTGTGCGAGCAGTGCGCCGTCTGGCGTGGCTGACGACAGTCTACTGCCTTCCGAGAACCACGAGGCGATTCCGTGTATCGAACGCGCGCTGCCACTGAAGGGATGGACGCGGGCCATCAGAGTGGGGGATCTTGTTCAGACGAGAGAGGAGGGATTCGACGCTGAGACGAGTATAAAGGTCCGTTCACAAGCACCCAATCTTCCGAAATATTCACTCCGATTTTGCTCATCGCTCATCAGCGTGCGTCCTCTGAAACTAACTCGGCGAATACGGACCTACGTATCCTTGTAATTTCAACCTGTTCCAGCTCATTTTAAGAGCATGTTGCGGAGATCATTTTAAGAGCGTGTATTCTTATGTGTTCAAACTTATTTAACAAATTAATGTGTTTGAATATCTTGTAAATCTTCCTTATGCGAATGCTCTGAATATATTTTGTAGTAGTTAATATTTCATTTTTGTTGCACCTTTTCTCCGTCTTTCACTTCTGCCAAGTTTCTTTCTTAATAAAATATTTCTATACCATAAACAATTTGTTGCTACAATATCGTACAGTTACTAAATTTCTTATTAGTGCGTGCTGTCTGTTTGATGATTTTCCTTCGCTTTACTTGAAAGAACTGAACTTATAATACCGTAAATGTAATAAAAGTGTGTGAATACACTTTAACGTTGCGCGGCACGAGAAAGTTCATGCTTGCGGAGAGACGAAGTTAGCGATATTCAACCAGAATCCTCAGGGACGCACTCTAGTACGCTCTCTCTTGTCTATGCCTCATATTTGAAGACAATAATGAGGCTTTTAACCGTGGCCTTGTACTGTTGCAGCATGTTAAATGAAAAATCAAGAAAATATCTCCATTTGCCACTGTAGTTTCTTACGTCACGCGCATTGCTTGACGCGATATTTGATGGATTTTTCTCTGGCGTCATCGCATGAACTACGAGTATAGTGCACGGATATTTTACAATTGAAATTTATTTCTTGTAAATGTTAATGTTTTTTACACCTTAATCACATTAGGTGTGCGTATATATATATATATATATATATACATAACTGCTACTTTGAACATACATATAAATTTTTGTTTATAGGATAACATCAATTTTAAAGATGTATGTACTTCTTGATCAATGAAAATTAATTAATTACATTTAATTGATTATTTCGAACGTTGGTTTAAAAATATATGAAGGAAATATTGGAATTTGCTAATCGTTTATTGTAATTTTACCCATGCTACCAAATTGAAAGAAATAAAACGATATAATTAAAAATTAATCATATGCTGTGTACAAATTTTATTCTCGATCAAGAATTTAAAATAATTGCTTGTTAATTATTAATATAAAAGTGGGGAGAGCAACAGATGAAATAATTCTATTCCAGATCCATGAAAGCCAAAGATAGACCTAGTCTTTCCGAGTGTCGCCGGGACTACATGTACATTTCGTCGTCCCTGTGCGATGCTTGTGCAGGGGGACGCTGTTATCTGGCAGATACACACAACCTTCTTCTCACGCGTCTGCCAGTCCCGGAAGGACGGCCTTCAGGGAATTGACCTCTGCGAAACAGTCGCACCTCGAGGAAGATGATCGGAAGAAAATACTAATCATGAAAGTGAGCTGGAAAAAGATAAAATATTGTAATAATGTTACTTGAGACGTTTTTATAATGAAATAAGTAGTAATACAGGCTATGCGTGATGGTAATGATCGCATTACTTCCATTAAAACCTTAATTTATATTTTCCACTTAATGTTTATTATAGTAATTACATATCTTTTTTACGAGATAAAGTAAGTTATAGCGAATAAAAGTAATGCATTTCATGTGTGTACACATACTTCGGGATGAAGAAATAGTATACTTCATAAACAGATAGTCATTATTTTCACATAACAATTTGATCTTCCTTTAAAGAAATGAAAGGATTAACTTATGTCATACTATTTATTTCTATGAAATATTAGAAGGAAACGATATATTCTTTGTTAATAAAAATAGATAATTCGAAAATTATTACCTATAAATATATATAAAGTTGTTACGTGTGAGTGGTAAAAATTATTTTTAATATGTAGGTATCTACACGAAAACTAAAACAAAATGTATAAATAAGAATCCAAATACATAGTACAAGTTATGGTGATTTAACAGTTGCACGTATGAATATATTCGCATCGTTAATTGCTAGAGAAAGTTTTATATTTTAGTAAGACATCACAAACGTATATACTGCGAAGTTATTTCAATAAAAATATAGTGATTTACAGTGATTGATGAAATCTCATGATCTGGATGTATTGTAATGAAAATTGATTGCATACGATTAGCGATAACTTTATTCTATAAAGGAAAAAGACAATTATTAACAAGTCAAAATCTTGAGTATCTGTATCTAGCACAAATTGGTCTACATATCAATTATACAGGTGTAGATAAATTACAAAACAAACAGAAATATATAAATATTAATAATAAATTTGTACACATATTTATAACGATTTTATATGTATTTGTAATAATTTTTTAATGATACGCTTTTTTCTCCTTCATCATACTGTATTTTGAACATTTTATGCCAGTGGGACATAAAATTTGTTTTTTTTTAATCATACTGGGTATATTTATTACATAGAAATTATTAAACTTGTAAATTGGGTTATTTCCTTTAGACACAGTGTGAGTTTATTACGAGCGATTTATTAATTGTATTGTATCTACATGATTCATTACTCTTGTTTTAATAAAAATATTTCGTAATTAAATGTTAGGTTCTATTTTAAAACCTGTATTCCATTATGTAAACTTTGCGTTTAGTAAAAAATATAAAAGGCTTATACACATTATTTTCCGATGAAATTGATCCATCAGACCGTAATGAATAAACGGATGAAACTATAATAAAAAGAACAATTAGGATAATGTTTATTTAAATGAATTAAAAATATGCCTTGATCTTCTTTTTGCATGGAACTATTAAAACTTGGATTGACATATTTTATTATTTCCGTACAAAACATAAAAAATGAAAAAATACGTATGCACATACGATGTATAAATAAAATGAATTTAATTTTGGAGAAATAAAAAATACCAACGTATGATATGCAATTTAATTACGGACGCGTAATAATTGTAAAGTAAATATATAAACTGTAAACGAGTTTTCATTTATCGTTAGTATTGACGATATAACTTCTTGTAAGTTAATTAATTTGAAACATTTCTTTCTCAATTGACTTATGATCTCATAGAATACATTGTAACTAATATCAATGAATTTAGAAAAAGTAATATTATATTGATATAAATGTCATAGTAAATTCATTTAAGTTATGATATCATTTTGTTAAAATATTTTTAAATTGAAGATTCAATTGTTACCTATTGTTATAGTGCATGAAATCAGGGTTTTCTTTTGCAAAACAAATTAATTTTAAGATACTGTATTTCTCATAAGTGTCAAGTACATAATTTCATACAATGTAAAACACAACGTATAAGTAATTATGCATTGATATTCAAATCAAAGAAATAAATTGCATAAGGGGAAGCGATTAAAATTTACCCGCTTGTTATGTTCAAAATGATCATTCACATGGAAAAACTATAGTATAGTCGAGTGGTGTTATGTATCAGATGCGATCGATAATCTCACGTAACTTACTTACAGCTGTGTGGTACAGTCGTTAATTGCACCTTTGTTTGACAGTCCTTGAATGATAAGTCATAATAATGATAGTGTATTAACTGTTAATTGCATCAGAAATCGAATGGTACCTCGTAGTACTTTGCTGAAATTGAAATAATTTTATCCTCTTCTTTGAGATGTTCGTAGTAACATAAATCAGCTATTGAAGCATTGAAAATGATAATTAGTTTGCAACAAGTGTTCGATAGACACATTCATAATACCATTGGTAAACTGTCAATTACTAGCTTAGAGAATGGTTTATGGCATTAATTATAGTCGCTATTAGAATACATTCATCGTTTCTCGTAACTTCATATAAGTACAATTAAATACTTAATCAGTTTGGTGTAAATTACATATGTACACTTTATACATATTTATTCTTTTAAACGGTAACATTTTTTATTGACTATAAAAACTTGGAAATATCACCGATAAATCTATTAGATATAGTAGGAAGCTCCTCTGGAATTTGTGTCAACGTTAACATTGAACGACATAATATTAAATCACATACATACTTACATCATATACCTTATTTTCTTATGTCGTGTACTAGAGTAATTTAATTTATTTACATAGAAAATTTCTTTAATCTTTATT